AAGAGTAGCATACTCACGCTAGGCCCTCAATCACAACATCGCAAAATGAGAGGCCGCTGATTTTGCGATTTTGAGGGCCTAGTGTGAGTGTCCCCTGCCTATACCAACTTTTGTATAACAGCCAGTAGTGGAGCGAGGCCCTCAGGCTGATTCCATTGCATTCATTAACTTCACTCGAACCCTGGTCTGTATTTCAACAGTTCATGGATGTACGAGCTGAGCTAGGCTCGTTGTAACGCTCGTAAGCTACATGCACGCGGAAGTGCTAAAACTGGCAGATGTTTATCGATCCCCAGACTCGCCAGATTGCATGGCAAACCTTCGGAAAAAAAAAAAAAAAAAAGGATTGCATGCCAATGCATGGGCGGTTGGCGGTGGGGCCGTACACGTGAGGAGATAAGTAGCAGGTTCGATGAGGTGAGTGGAGGACAAGAGAGTAGACGGGTTGTGGAAAATTGGAAATCACCGCTGCAGCGAAGAGGACTTCGTCATGAGAGAGGGCATATTCACACCACCAGCGGGACTTGGCGCGAGGCCTCGCCGCGCAAATACCGAATCTGTCCCGCAGTAACGAGCAGATTCAGTTCAAGTCAAAAACGTTGCTTTGCGAGTATGCCCTCCAGAGATGAACAGACAGTTTTGTGAGATATTGACATCGGATCGATGACTCCGTTAACACGGTGGCCCTGTAGCATTCGGGGTGGCTCCGCCACCCTCCAAATGTGCAAAATGAGACTGAATCCTCCGGTAGAACATGGAAAGATGCATTGCCAATTTCTTGTGTCTTTTGTGCATGCGGAGAGTAGTGGACTGAGGCCCATTGAGGGTGCAGAGAGCCTACCCACATCTCGCTCCCTCACCTCATCTCAGATAGGACAAAGCACCTGAGAGGGAGGACATCAGACCTTGCCTCCCCTCGTCTCCCCTCGTCTCCCCTCATCTTGCTAGGGAGATGAGGTCTTCGATTGCTTGCTAGTAGAGTGTAGGTGGCAGTACTGGCAGCCGCTCGCTGCCCTCCTCCTCTGGTCATCTCGTCGTCTCACCTAGCTGCCCATCCCGTTGAGCTGCTCCTCCCCTAGCCCCCGCTCCCCGCCTCCCGCTTGAAAGTTCCCGCAACCTGCCGCCCGCTTCCCGCTTTAGATCTTTTCTTCCGACACTGGGTCATCTTCAGTGTCCTTTTCATCGCCATCGCCATCGCCATCGCCATCGCCATCGCCGTCTCCATTCTTAAGGTATCGATCTCCATAGCTATCGTCACTCGGTGGCCGCCATCGCCAGCATCTCGCAGCAGCCTTCCTATAGAGCTGATCGCCATAGCTGGCTTGTAGTGCTAGCACAGTGGCGCAGCCGATTCGTAGAGTAATCTAAATATAGCATCAGCGTCACCGAACCGGATAATCGAAGTGAGTCACGGCATATTTGCTCTACGTGACCACAAAAAAAAAAAAAAAAAAAAAAAAAAAAAAAAAAAAAAACGCTGTCAGATTCGGTCTGGTCTCTCTATCTGTTCATTCTTAAGTGGTAGCTTGGTGTGGACTTGAAAGCTGTGAGAGCATGGCGGGGGCTTCTGCTTGTTGTGCCATCGCTGCGGCGCAAGGCGCATCACTTGCGCTCTCGTCCCCCTGCGCTGGGGAGATATGCGGGCAAGTCGACCGAGGCGGGCATGGCGCGGAAGCAAACCTGTTGTCGTTCAAATGGCGGAAGACGGGGGCGGGGGCGGGGGCGGGGGCGCTCTTTCCCGCCGCAGGGAAGCTGTCGTCGGGATCGGCGACCTCCGGCTCCGGTTTCCGCAGGTCAGCTCTCCGCCGGCCCAAGCTTGGAGATGGTGTGGAGGCGGAGGCGGAGGAGGAGAGGCGACAGACGAGCAGGAGGGGGTCCTCTTCTTCCCGCCAATACTCGATTCAAGCCATAGCCACGCCTGAAAGGACGCAGGAGGCGGACACCGCGACCTCGACGACGTCGACGGGAGTGGGATCTCCGCTGGCTTCGTCTCAAGGGATCGCGACTGCCGGACCACAGAGGGGATCGGCGGAGTCCACTGCTGACCCGGCTTCTCCAACCTTCTTGCCCATTCCCTCCTTCGAAGAGTGTTTCCCTTCAAGCACCAAGGAATTCAGGTAAGTGTCTTCGACCGTGTTTTTTTTTTTTTCTATTTTTATTTATTCTTTTTTTTTTTTTTT